GGCACAACACTTAGTACAAGTTTTTCAATTTACGTTTATTCCCCGTAAACGGAATGCTTTCTGATTATTATAATTTATTCGTTTTATGTATTGGAATTGATTAATTAATAAATTTCAAAGCATAATAAAATATGTTGACGGTGCGACCATTGGCAGCGCAGATACTTATCCATTTTTCATTGTAGCTCGGACTCGTCAAACCGCACGTGACATTCGGTGCATTCAAGACTCTGATGTCACTTGTATATGCTTTACCTAACCGAAGCCTGAACAGGGCTGCTTTCAATCAGCTAGTATATGACTATTGTAGTGAAATTGTGTATGTAAATGTATTCCCTATGACCTTTCACCCTGACCTCATAGCCATCCACCCGTGCTGGCCAGCACGCTTTCCCTCGTCAGTCCAGATGAGTCCTTAAACTACTCACCTCGCGTGAGTTACCTGTATCCTATACTGTTGTGTATACCTGTACCATTTACCATTATGTAGAACTTGTGTTTCCGTCATCACCTTAGTTATATATTACTTTAAGGTAGGCAACATTATTACATAGTAAGATGCTATTATTTTACTACACTATTTTCTGCAATAACTGATATAAAACAGATAATCTCATTTAAACCAAGGCAAGTTTATTATTCATTTAACTTGTGGGTCAAAATTCTATAGAATGAGTAGTCCGAATTTTCTCTTCGCCTAAGCGTTGTCGTTAGAGCTCACAGTTAGAGCTCTAGATCGTTTTGCGACGCTCGCTGCACTCGCTATAGTCTAAATATAAAGAAAACAAACATCGAAATTGGCGATTTCTTGGAAATATGGCTGATCAGGGAATGTGCTGATTTTGCATAAAACAAAATTACTACTATGATAAGGGGTATGATTCGTGCTAAAAACAAATCTTGAATGATTTTTTGACAGATAATTAAAGGTTTTAATCTAAATTATCTGTTAGCATAAGAAAATATAGTTAATTAAATTTGACTTATGAAATCCAGCGACTTACGAGATATCACGTAGTTGCCTATCCCATTAGTATGTAGGACCCTGCTCGGACAAGTGACAAATTTTTGATATGTTTTTACACCAATTCTGCCGTGTTTCTTGCTACGAAAGTATGATGGCTGTTCCGCGATATTGCACTGATTTTCTCCTATATATAATTTATACTTAAAATTTATTCCAGAAACAATAACCTGGTTCCCCAACCAGTTTACGAATGCATTTGGCGCGAAATAATAAAATAGTGGTACAGTTTCACTTTAATTTTCAAGTGTGTTTTGTTTGGTTTTTTTTTGCGATTAAGTTTCATGGACTTTTATTTTTTAATTAATATTTTGCTATGAAAATTGGGAAATTTACACCTTTCATTTTCAAAGTGTGTTTTGAATATGCCCTTCGGGCATGTTTTTTTGAAATTTGTACATGCCCTACTTTCATTTTAGCAGATCTAATGATTGTACATAAGGTTTTTATATTAACTTATATTAATATTTTGCTATGAAAAGTTGGGAAATTTACACCTTTCTTTTGGAAAAAAGGTACCTGAACTGATTTTTTGCATTGACAGAAGAATTGTCAAGTAAACTTTGTGAATCAAAAGAAAATTTATACATGCCCAAATTACACATGCCCTTTGGGCATGGTCCCAATGTTAGAGAATCAAGAGCCCTGTTTATCCTGGAGGGAAAAGCATCGCGAGAATCATAAGGTCGAGGAAAATAATTTTTGTGACGTCTGTTCAGTGAGGAACCAATATGACTAACAATTCGACCAATCAGCTCAATGAGTTGCATTTAATGCATTTATGGGTTACTAAATAAAAGACTACAGGTGTTTTTCGAAAAGGCTAATTTTTTAAATTGCTCTCAAAAGGACTTGATGCATTTTCCCAAGCATTTACATGCTTAATGCATTATGTACACTATTATCTACTAATCCCATGCTCAAATTTGCATCCAAATGATTAACAATGATAAAAATCAGTTTTCACCACTCCATTGTACAGGTCCGTTTGTTTAGAGTTTCCTGGTGCTGTACTGATAGTGAAAAGACAATTGCATGTGATTATTACAAAAAGCAACCAACTCTGAGGTGTGCTCACTTATTGACAATCCCTATTAACTCAAGTTTTTGTAGTAAAAACATAGTAGACCATCATGCTTTTTCGGTTCATTCAGGAGATTGGACCATTGTTTGCTGTGAGCATGCGAGTCCACATGATCATGAATATTTCAATAAGAGGCGGTTTATTATCCGACTTGGAGAGAAATAATTTTTACCAACTTTTAATAGTGATGGAGTGGAATTGTCTTATTTGCAGAAAGTATATAACTTTATAAGTTGATGAAACACCACATTTATTTCTTTTAAAAATAAAACACTAATACCGCATATACATCTTTAAAATTATTTTTCCACGACAGATAAACTCTTCAATTGGCACACCGCCTGAATTAATTATCATGGCACTTTCAAGAGGAAAACGCATGGTATGTAACAAGTCTTACTGACTTATTTAGATATTTATTTATGTAAAGTATAACATGAGGGTTGTCCCAGAAAAATATAAATGGCCTGAGAACCAACTCTTTTTTGCTTTGCCTTAATTATGGCCTTATAGTATATTTTACTACATTTTAAGAACTTTTTAAAGCTTGCAATTTTTAAATATTTCAGCTGAAAGCTTCTCTAGCTAAACAAGACAGTTTCAAGGTATTTTTATGCGCCCGGATCGATAGATCCCGGGCGTATATTGTTTTTGTCCTGTCTGTTTGTCTGTTTGTCTGTTTATCTGTTTGTCTGTTTGTCTGTTTGTCTGTCTGTCTGTCTGTCTGTTGTCAACTTTAACCTTGGCCATAACTTTTGAACAATAAAAGATAGAGACTTCATATTTGGTATGCATACTCCACTAATAAAGTCCTTTCAAATGACATCAAGGTCAATGACCTTGTGACCTTGACTGTGACCTATATGCTAAAAATAGCTTTTTCCACTGTTTGTCATAACTTTTTAACCATAGGAGATAGGGACTTCATATTTGGTATGCATACTCCACCGATTAAGTTCTTTCAAATGACACCATGGTCAATGACCTTGTTTGACTGTGACCTATATGCTAAAAATAGCTTTTTCCACTGTTTGTCATAACTTTTGAACCATAGGAGATAGGGACTTCATATTTGGTATGCATACTCCACCGATAAAGTCCTTTCAAACGACGGCAAGGTCAATGATCTTGTGACCTTGACTGTGACCTATATGCTAAAAATAGCTCTTTACACTTTTTGCCATAACTTTTGAACCATAGGAGATAGGGACTTCATATTTAGTATGCATACTCCACTGATTAAGTTCTTTCGAATGACACCATGATCAATGACCTTGTTACCTTGACTGTGATCAATATGCTAAAAATAGATTTTTTGAACTTTGTTGCCGCCGGGCGCATAGTGTTTCACAAACACATCTTGTTTTGTTTATTAATGCATGGGTTGGGACAATATGTTCATTTTTCTATATTTATATAATAGTGTTGCATTATGCATGTACTATGCCTAAATAGTAGGCAGGGTTTGACACATGGTGCACGAGCCGGAGGCGAGTGCACTATGTGTCAAACACTGCCTACTATTTAGGCATAGTACATGCATAATGCAACACTATTGTTATTATTATGCTGACTGTTGTTATTATTTATGCGGCAATCCATTTGATTTTTTCCTGAAAATAATGGTGGTTCAACACAGCGCACTTGCAAAAACTCATTCAAAATTTTCATGCTAAAATTAGTTGCATGCTTAGTTATTTTGGTTACTAGTGTTTTCTCTAAATAAGTCAGGATTTTCTGTCCCAAAGATACTCATCTTTATTTTCTGTTTTGTTAGTATTAAGACTGATTTGTTTACAGACGTTGATTCTCATTGATAATCTTCTTTTACATCCTTCAATCAAGTGCTATATAAGAAAGCGTTTTAATGACCCCATGATATCAATTCATCTAACGATCTGTATGTAATTAGTTTGAAACTTTGTTGTACACATTTATCTAAGATTCCTTAGAATAAATATAACTGTTTTCAAATAATATTTGTCTGTTTTCTCCTTCTTGTGTCAATTGTATAAATTAAGTTTATATATTTAATAAAATTCTCCCAATCAGTGATCGTCTCTGTGGCGTAATCGATAAGGCATCGGACTGGCAATCTCATGGTCGTGAGTTCGATTCCTGGTGAGTGCATGGAAGGGTTTTATTTAGAAAATCAGGCCGTGCACTATTTCGGCATAGTATGCTTACGCTATATAAATCCCTAGACCACTATGCGAGAATAGTAGGGTATGGGTTATATAGAGACAAACTGACAGGAAGCATAATAATGATACATATCACGATATTCTTGATATTTGAGCCACGATACAATATGTATCAACATATATTTAATTGCTTATAAAACTTTTTTTGCATTGAAATAAACAAATTATTTCTTTGCAAATGAGAGTAATTTATTCAAAATAGTTGTTTATATGTTGTAAAACAAAATTATTTTACCAAAAATATTTAACTTGTTTATTTTATATATTAAACCCCAAATGTTAAAAAAAAACAAAGAAAGACAGATTATTTTGGGCAATATTTCCATATTTTTTCAAATGTATCGGTACGTATATTGTCCTCACATATATCACGGTATATATATATATATATAATATATATATAATTGTCCCAGCCTTAATTAATGCTCATTAAAAAGTCACCAATTCTGTGACTTGTTTTGTCTCGTCAAGTTTATGCGGTTATGGAATGTATTAATTATGAACCTACTGATAAATTTCTATATTTTGTCAATGAGCAATGAACTAGAATTACAGAATAGCAATTAGCAAAAGCACACTTTTGATTCTGGAATATAATATGAAATGATAAAAACTTGAATGTTTGTTATTGTTGTCTTCCATGAAGATATGTATATTGACATATTATACAAATTGTTTTTATTTCCAGAGAAGACGAATGTCACCCCTTGCTGAGGCAGCCTATTATTGTCGGGCCGGCCTGGACAAGGATGGATTCCAGGTCAAATACATATCTGATTACAAGGGTATATATTTATTCCATATAAAAATGTACTATTTATAATTTTATATTGTATTGCTGCATAAAATGTGCATGTATAAGTATAGGACTGACATAAATCAGAATTTCAGTGATGATTTGTTTATAAATACAAGTGACTCTTGATGACTCAAACTCTGTTCTCTAAAAGTTGTTGATCTTTCAAAGTAAAAGTTTTTATAAAGATGACACCTACAAGCCGTCTGAGCATTGATATGATGAATTTAGTATAAATTAGTCAATGATAAACTAATCACTTCTGTCTTTATATTTTGAAATAATTTAATTCTGGTTGTAACACTGTATTTGATTAGATAAAAAATTAAATTTTATCCCATGTTTACCCCTTTATCTCATGGATAAAGATCATGGGATATCGTTTTCATATCCCACACTTAAGTGCAGCTGTGACGTCACAATGATTTTAACATTAGCGTGATGAAGTAAAATATAGCAGAGTACCATATAAAAAAGTGTAAACATTGGTTGTGAAGAATTAAACATGGGATATCATAAAAAGAATCTCCCATGGTTTGTAGTTGGATATGATTTTTATCCAACTCGTTGTGTGTTTTTATCCCTCGCCAAAGCTCGGAGATAAAAATCACACAACTCGTTGGATAAAAATCATATCCAACTACAAACCTTGGGAGATCCTAAATGTATTGTATAAAATGGGTTGCCTTTGTCACAATGACTTGCGTCAGAAACGTATTAATCCGCCTGACGTTACATTCAAATTTTGTACAAATTGAAGTCATTTTGTTTGTACAATCATCGTTTTTTCTTACATCAAATGAATGATAATTAAATTATAAGGAATGAATTGAATAGCTACCCATTTTATACAGTTTACACTTTTTTATAAACTGCTTCGTGGTTTGTAAAGCGTAAACTGCCCCAACCCAGTTTATACCGATATATATATATGATATTATGTATAGAATGGGTAGCTATTAAATTCATTCCTTAATTGATGTCAATAATTTTCAATAGATTAACATGATTAATAAGATTATATGAACGAACTTTCACTAGAAGATACAATCCCATTCTGGAAAATATTGCAATACACAAGAATGAATATCGATTATGAGCAATCTAGGGAAGGATCTGATAAAATCCTGGTAGGGGAGTAGCCACATCCAAAATTGCGAATGTTATGATATTTTCTATGATGTCAATGTAACGTCAATGTTACATTGATATTTATTTCCGTGATTTACAGTAATGGCTCCAAAACCCACAAATTAGCAGTCATTGTTCTGACCAATCAAAGAACAGCATTATTTTATCCACTTGGCTCTCCTGCCTTGGCAAGGATGAGACAGGACTAGACTAAATTTTGATGTGACCCTCTATGGGATGTTGTTAGATGTTAGTGTAGTGAATATACAAGTGGATCCAACATCTATTTTTAATAGGCGTTAAACGGTTCACCGCGGTATCAATTCACCATAGTATTTTTTCTTGGTTCGAAACACAGTACAAAATCTCTATTTTCGGTCGGGTTTGTCATTCAGTAGGATTTGGCATAAGGTATAATTATTTATTTTTAGGCCTTAAATGGAATCAATAATAAAAAAGATGACCACATGTTATTGACCTTATTTATTTTGATCTAGGCTTTGGAGTGTTTAGCACAACCAGACACTGCAGAGGAGATTTCCTCCTTCAATATGTTGGAGAAAGAATGCTGCGTTCAGATGCATTGGAACGAATAGACACAAGTTACGAGAACAAAATGTTTTTTTACAAATACGATGGAAAAGAATTCTGGTAAGAGTAGGAAAACGCCTAACTGATTTTTTGTTAGATTCAAAATAAAATAATTTGATCTTGATTAAACATTGTTAAACGATAGTTATAGAAATTATATAGAATCTAAACACCAACTTACTCAAAACGAACTATTTTTGAATTCATATGATAATATCTTTTTATTGTGAATCTTCAGTTAAATCAGTTTAAAACCCATGAATGACCTCTAATTTTTGTGACTGAAAAAATATAGTAAACTATGAATGTTTTTCTTTTGGAGGGGGGGGGGGGGCAAGATATTGTTGAAGAAATAAAGCTTAAAGCCCCACCCTCAGATTTACCTGATCTGTATTCCCTCGTCAATCAAATAAATCAAGGTCCATCATTGGGTACTTAAATTGATTAACATTACTACTAGTCCCTGTACTACTAGTTTACCTTGTTTGAAACTTGTGGCCAACATTCAAATTAACTTTTGGACTTCTGACGTTTACTACATATATATACAACAAGGAACCATTTGTATATTGTTTAATGGACTTTGAGATTGAATACTGATCGTTATCTCCATATCCTTCTATGTAGACAATTTAAGCTTGATTATAATTATCCGCAAAACAAACATGTCATTGAAAAAAAAAATCAAAATTATCTCATAAAGATTCAGTAAAATAAATCAAGCTTTTAGTGACATAAGCGAGTTCAAGAAAAGACAATAATAGGGTGGAGTCATGATCATAGAAAAATCTTCTCAAAAACCACTGATCTGGCCATAAAAGCTGAAACTTATTTGAAAGCATTGTTGCATAGTGTAGATTCAAAATTGTTTAATTCATAACCCCCAGGGGTAGGGCGGGGCCAAAATAGGGAATCCAAGTATTACATTGAAACATGAGAATTTTTTTTTTTAAAATGTTCTCAAGAACCACTGGGCCAGGTAAACTGAAACCTATGTGGAAGCATTTTCTGGTTTTAAATTGTTTAAATAATGACACCCAGGGATAGAGAGGGGTCACATTATATGCAAACAAAATCTCCAAAAATCTTTTCTCAAGAACCACTGGGCCAGAAAAGCTGAAACTTAATTGGAAACATCCTTGGATAGTGTAGACTTTAATTTGTTCAAATCAATACCCACAAGGGTAGGGTGGGGCCACTGAAGGGAAACTAAATTTTACATTAAAATATATAGGAAACATCTTAAAAAATGTTCAACTCAAGAACCACTGAAAGAGAAAACATGAAACTTAAGTGGAAGCATCCTAAGGTAGTGTATGTTCTAAAGTGTTCAAATCATGTCCCTTTGGGGTAGGGTGGGCCCATAATAAGTATTACAAGGGGGGGATCAGGAGAAGAACAGCAGGGCCAAAGCAACTCAGATGAGCATTTATTAATCAGTGGCCTCTTGTTTATCTATTTGGTATAGTATTGATGCTGAGGGTGTTGTCGATCACATCTGTGCACTTGTCAATGATGGTCACGGAGATCAAGCCAACTCTGCAATGAAGCTTCAAGTTTTTGACGGCAAAGAACATCTGTGCCTTTTCGCTAATAAAGATATACATCCAGGGGAAGAAATCCTTTATGATTACGGGGAGGATGAATCGAAGTTGTGGTGGAGAAGGAAGGTAAATTTACCTAAATACCTCTGTTTAGCCTGATCGCAAGCAGTTATTTGATTAAAATGATTAATCAAGCCACATGTAAAAAAAATTTCAAATATGGTTATTATATTTGCTGTATGTACAAAGTAAGTCACTATAATTGTAGAATATCAATAATGCTGATGATCCATACAGTTTTGGTAATAGTAAACTAATGTTTATAAAAATTTCTTGAACAAACTTGAGTTATAATTTACTGTAAACCAACTTTTATTCCAGGCGACTTCATTTCGCAATTGGCACTAGTTGGCAACAATTAATTTTCCTGATCAAGCCTTTTTGGATATGTTGTCAATAAACACATACACTTTAAGACTGGTTAGCGGCGAGAAATATTTGCGATGATGAGGTTCTCGAGAACTTCACGAAAATTTCTCGCATGTGAATAAAAGTTGGTTTACAGTATTTTAAATTTTAGCTGCATGACTGTTCAGTTCAGAAGACACACTGGTTATCCTACTTTTATAAAAAAAAAATTATTTTTTTTTCTGTAAGTACTTGACATTTCTTTTCAATGGATTATTGTATATAGGTACTATAAATCACTTTTTCTTTGCAAGAACTTTATTTTTGCATAATTATGCAGAACAGTTCGCTCGCAAAAATATTCTGATGTATATTAGTATTCCATAAGATTATAGAGCAGTAACTACAATTAATTAAAAATATTTTCTAGCTAATCAACAGTTAATTGCTATTTTGCTGAAAGAAAGTTTTACAAAAATAAGTGATTTACAGTAGGATTAATATATTTTCAGAACAGACAGTAAGTGGTTACGACTACATTTTCTTTTAAAAATACTTATTCTTAGATGTTTAGGCCATATCTAATTGAAATCTTGGTTCTCAGGCCCGCGCACATCCGTTTTGAGGTAGCCGCATTGCTGATTTTACTGTATTTTTGATAAAATAAAAAGTTGGTGTTGCGAAGACCAATCCGGGAAAATATTCCGACCTCATTTGTTTCATAGTTTAGTATTCAAATATCACTTCCGGTAGCCATTTACAATGAGATTTTGGCTATTTCATTTGAAAATACATTCGAGGACATTAGGCCATAATAAAAATATTCCTAGATTCTCATCCCCGCCCGCCCCGATTTTATACCCCCGCCTCGATTTTTTTTATTTCTGTTTTTCTTCGTCTTAATTCTGATCGGGATCGGTATTCATCTACCATTCTACTTTCGTTTTAAATCCCGCGAAAGTGGACATGATGTTGACAGCTGAAAAGATGGTAATTGCTGTAATACATGCGTATATATTTTAAACAAGGGTCATTGGTTAAAAAAGATTGGTGATCATGTGAAGTAAGAGATATTGAACCTTTACTATGACTTTTATTCGGGTATTGTAGATAAAATTACACCGATTGACCAGGTCAATAAAAAATCTGAAAAATTGAAAAAATAAAAAATATAAAATAAAAGCCGCCCGCCCGCCTCGATTTTTAAAAAAATTCGGATGAGAATCTAGCAATTTATTTATTATGGCCTTACCTACGATGTTTTCACGCTGTTAAGCAATGGATAAAGCAGAAATTTTGACCAGAAATGGAAAGTATATTTGTGATTAAAAAATTATATTTATGCAGGGGTCTAGAATTTTTTTTATAACTCACTTGCCCAAGGGCAAGTGATACAATAAATTTCACTTGCAAGTCTAAAAATTCACTTGCCCAACAAAAACATGAAACAATCAAGTTTTAAGATTTATTGATGTTATGTTTATATATTCTGGCATTTACAGGCTAGCATTTTCAACATGGTTCAAATTTGTGAATATTTTCCTCAAATTAAATTATTTATGCTATTTATGTCTCTGATATACTACAAATATAAATATGCTATATTGCATTGTATTTTTGATTTATATATATTGATACACTGTATGCTATATTGAATTGTATTTTCAAAGTAAAAATTATTGTTCAGTGGATTAAAACATTTATTTCGTTCATTCTAACCTTAATCGTCAAAATTTCAAGAGGTATAGCCCTCAAATCACGTTCGTATTAATTCCGGGAAATAGAAAGTGTACCGTTTTCGGTTTTTCATTTATACAGCAAACAAGTATTTCCGGTAGTGATAATGTACATGAATTTGAAGGGAAACGCTTCATACCGATTCACACAACTTACTAGCTAAGTAAATTCAAATCAATTTTCAATCAAAACTTGTGAAAAGAACAACTTTCAACAACATAAGTGTCTACTGTCATTTATTTTTACTTTCCCGAGCGGGTGAGCATGACCCGCGATCGTACTTTCCCGTACGAATTTTTACTCACCCCGGGCAACGGGAAAGCGTAATTCTAGACCCCTGTTATGTTAAAGAAAATTCGGAAATTAAAATAAAAAAAATACCTCCCTCATCTACTTTATTGCCAATAAAATGAAAACTAAAATGCCGCCATGAGAACCAGGGAATTAAATTTAGATAGCCTTAATTATCTAAAAACTTGAAACAAAAAAAGGAACTTGCAAAAGTATATATATATGTAAATTTAGTTCCCTAAGATGTAGATATTATTGACAATCTTCCTTTTGTGTGTTGCAAAGTGGTAACAACTAAGGGGGTCTTTGAATCATTCAAATATTTATGCCAGAACTCCTGTATGTAGCTTAATTAAGTATATGACTATTGTAAGTACAATGAAGCGCATTGAAGTGGTAAAATTTTCCGTTTGAATGGAACATTTTGAGCTATCTTTAGAATGTTGATTGTCATACAATGACACTCCCATTTCTTTAGAAAGGAAAAATCGGTCAAATGGTTCATTCGAATACATGTAGAACAGGTATTCTAAAAATATAATAGCCAATCAAATTGACGTTCTACTTAAACCCAGAGTAAGCACGTGTTCGACCAATACATGAGTCTTGGAAACTCCAATAAACACGATAAATTCATAATTATGTACAAATTCGTGGCAATACAGTGTTTTACAGAAGCTTGAACACTCTTAATCTCTCTTATAACTTTAAAAATCTCCATTACGGTGTAAGTCATGTTGCTTGTCGCGCAGAGTGGGGTGTCCTTAAACATTACGACGAATATTTCATGTTGTTTCTAAAGAAATGGGCGTGTCATTCTGTTATAATTGACGTTTAAAACATGACTCGGAACGTTTCATCCAAACGGAAAATTTTACCACTTAAGTGCGCTTCATTGTGTCATAATTCTTGATAAAGAAACACAAGTTTAAGCCCCGATGCAAAATAAAAATGCACAAAAAAAGCTTTTTCATTAAATTGAAATCTGTACAGATCTTTAAGGTGCAGTAAACACAAAAGGCCTTAATTGATAGCAATAGGAATTTTTATTTTGAAGCTGAATTGTTCAAAATTTACATATCCCCCTCCATTCTTTGTGTTAGAGTGGGTCAGTGGGAAGGTATGGTTTTTAAGTAATGATTTTTGCAGGGTTACTAATTTATGTAAATAAATTCCACATATTTTAAGCCCAAATTGATGATTTAAAAAATCAAGAAAAACAAACTATTATAATAGATTTCAATATCCCAAAAAACTTTTAAAAATATATCTATTCTAAAAATGGCTTAAAAAGGGTGCATTTTAACTGGGTTGTTGACAACTGCAAAGAATTTTTTTTTTAGGTCTAATTTAAGGAAAGCTAATATGAATTTTTTGTTAACCTAGTTGCTAGCTCAGATGTGGAATCGGACCCTTTTAGCCTGAGGGATATTTCAGATTCTGATTCATTGACAAGTTCATTTCTCAGTGATGATGAGATAAATTCAGGTAATGTATACAATGTTTAATATGTATCCATACTTGATAAAGTTAAGTTTAACAGCTGATGTTTGGTAATTTGCATGAATTATAGTGACTGAAATCTTAAACTTCTACGAGTACGTGTTCATATTCTTTGTAATTTGTCAAGATTTTAATTAGTCAGATGTACATTGCTAAATGCAAGTTTCAAGATTATCTCCCTTTGTTCGCTCTTTCGTTGAGGAGGGGAGTTTTGTTGCTATGCAAACAGACGGAAATCATGATAAAGGACAGTGTCCCTCAGGCAAAACTTTTTTAAATGTAAAGGCGTCATTTTTTAAAGAAAAATTTGCAACAAGAAAGAAAATATCAGTGGATGTGAAACTTTTCAGACATACATGTATCTCTAACAAATACAGTCTTAAATGCATTCAAATTCATGTGTAAGTGTAATTTAAACATGGTCTACTTTATGAAGATATTGTACCTAATATCATTTATATGTGAATTCTTCAGTTTGAAAATGGTCCACTTAAGAAAGTTATTATGCATAGTTCATGTATATTACTAGTCCCTTCAATGAAGTCATAATGGATTGTATATTTTATTCATCTGTATTTATAATTTAAGAAGAAATGCAGAATGAACAAGCTTGATTAGTAACTGCAGTCTTGTTTATACCCTATATAATCTACTAGAAACACATTAATTTGGTATAAAATATTGATATTAAGTTTGTTTATGTGTTTGTTACTTTTTGTGTCCTCTGCGAAGCAGGATGGCACTAAGGGATCACTGTCTGTCCATCTGTATGTCTAGTTGTTTGTCTGTTCGTCTGTCACATTCTGTCTCTAAAGGACTACAAGAGATGTGGACTTGATATTTTGCACATTTATTGTATTGCACCATTGCATTTGAAATGCCATGGTTACTGACCTCATGACCCTTGACATTGTCCTTTGACCTTCTTTACTAAAAAGTAAAAAGTGCTAATACACAGCAAATTTTTGACATTTAAGGGGTAATGCTATGCTATTTAGCATGTGTACTGATTGTCATAAAACATAATGATAAATACCGGCCAATATACAATTCTTTTTGCCTTGAAATTTTACCTACTTTACAAATAATACCCGGGACATTTTAATTCAACTGAAGACTTTTGATTTTTGAGTGGCGGTTGTTAATAATAAGCATTTAAACATGTTTAACCCTCTCCCCCAGTCACACATTTTAACGCATATATAATTTCATTGCAAATGTTACCCTTTAACATTACTGAAAGCAATGCGTATCTATAACCGATCATAAATGTTTGACATAATTTCTCTGTGACATCATAAAGAATATTGCAAATAATGGATAACATACATGCCGTTTGGTTTGAAAAATAAAACAATGCACATGTTCAAGTCATAATCAGGCAGTAAAAAAATAAGAATGTCATAAATGTAAATATAAGCAATACCATATAATAGGTAATTTTTATTGCTGTAAATTCTTACGAATTTTGGTCAAAAAAAGGGTGATTTAAATCTTTACGCGTTAATTTTTTTACGAATTGAACATGTCCGTAAAAATTAAAATCATCAGATGTAAAATTCCAGATTACTGATTGTTGGCACTTTTGATAATTATGTGTCCAAAAACCTGATGTAAGATAGAGAGAGAAAGAGAAAGAGAGAGAGAAAGAGAGAGAGATTTATTAAATTATAACAATATAAACAATGTAACAAATAAAGAAATGTTATCATTAACTTTTATATACACAAACCATGTTCCCTTTTTTTATTCATGTTTTATAATAACCATCAGGGGCATAACTTAAACAAGTTATAAAAAAAATAACTTAAATAAGTTATTTTTCATTATTTCACACAAATAAATTTTTTTTGAAAAATAACTTAAATAACATATTTTTATATCCCACTTGGACATTGATTTCTTGGATATTTCATGTTTCCTGCCAATTTGCATTGCATTTTGGGATTCCAAAGTTATGACCTAGAGCAAACTGTTTTAATACTAGATGGAGTTCACCGACTCCAATGGAGAATGGGTGAGGAGGTGGAGATAAACAGCATTTTAATCCTTATTTTGTGGTTTTATCCACATGGTGTATATGTACAACTTTTATCATTAAATAAAAAAAAATCCCAACTTTTCCCAATACTTTTGACACTTTGATCCTGCATTGAGCAAGGTTTATATTTAGTCAAACATTTGTTTTTGTTTGGTGCACGAGAAAAAACCTTTGGTGCACGGGGTGTGAAGTTAGGGAGGAATGACACAAAATAACTTAAATAAGTTATTTATTTATTGAAGCTATTTTGGAAAAAAAACGTGTTTGAGTTATTAAGGTTGGGAAAAAGTAGGTCATAGCAAAGAGAAGTAACTCATTGATAGAGAGAGAAAAAAATAAGAGATTTATTAGTTATTTAACAATATAAAAATAACTTGTTTAACTTTTATTATGCCCCTTACTGTTTTATAAAACACATAGCTAAACACACCACATGCTCCTATGGATTTACCGAATTCAAGAGAGTCAACTCAAACTATCATAATTGAATTGAAAGTATACATACATGTACAGTGTACTAAGAAGTCGAAGTTTTATTAAAAGCACACGAAACAGAAGAAAGTGTCAAAGGTTGAAAACATGGGTATAATTGGAAAACCTGTAATTATTAAGTCATTATCAGAATTCATGCGTCTCATAAAAATATTTAAAAAAAAGATTTACCAGGTAGGTCTAACTGATTAATTAATTGACGGCGATGTTTGTATAATTTATACAAGTTAATTGAGATTTACCTTTATGATCCCAATTGATGATTGAATTGAATGTGTTCAAAATACCAAAGGTACACTTATTATATATATAGCCTCCAGGGAGTGAGCTTAAAGACAATTAGCATTATTTTTACCCATACGATGTTGAAAATTAACACGATCCATTTAATAAATTATGTGAAATTTTACGCGTTTAAATTTTACGGATTTATAAAACTTGTAAAAATTAGCAGCACGTAAAAAATACCCTTTATACGGTACGGTATCATTCTAAAACATCTATCGGGCTATAAATACAGGTGTGTAGGAGATCAAATTCATCATAAACTTGTGAACAACTGATTTTATATCCCGATAGATGTTAAAAAATGATACCTTATTTTTTAAACCATGTTTTATTTCATATGCAAAAAATCACACATGTACTTTTCCCCAGCAATTACGCATTTTTTACACACTTGCAAAAGTAAATTAAGTTTTCAATTTAATGCCAATCGTCTTTTATTTTATACTAATTAAAATTATATAAAATAAAAAAATGTTATAATCTAATGAAAAAAATTTTTATGTTCATAGTTATTTCCAGTATATAATTTTCACTCTAAAATTGGGGTGTTGTGTTTCTATTGATTGTGAGTATATTTGTAGAAGCCTCAAATTTGAATTCACATGAAGATGACAGTATGGAAGACACCAGTATTGCAGGAGTGGCTCATCAGGAAGTTGACAGTATGGAAGACACCAGTATTAAAGGAGTGGCTCATCAGGAAGTTGACAGTATGGAAGACACCAGTATTAAAGGAGTGGCTCATCAGGAAGTTGACAGTATGGAAGACACCAGTATTAAAGGAGTGGCTCATCAGGAAGTTGACAATATGGAAGACACCAGCATTGAAGGAGTGGCTCATCAGGAAGTTGACAATATGGACGACACCACTATTGAAGGAGTAGCTCATCAGGAAGTTGACAGTATGGTGGACACTGGCGTTGCAGAGGTGGCTCATCAGGAAGTTGACAGTATGGAAGACACCAGCATTGCAGGACTGGCTCATCAGGAAGTTGACAGTATGGAACACACTGGCATTGCAGAGGTGGCTCATCAGGAAGTTGACAGTATGGAAGACACTGGCATTGAAGGAGTGGCTCATCAGGAAGTTGACAGTATGGAAGACACTGGCATTGAAGGAGTGGCTCATCAGGAAGTTGACAGTATGGAAGACACTAACATTGCAGAAGTGGCTCATCAGGAAGTTGACAGTATAGAACACACTGGCATGGAAGGAGTGGCTCATCAGGAAGTTGACAGTATGGAAGACACTGGCATTGAAGGAGTGGCTCATCAGGAAGTTGACAGTATGGAAGACACTGGCATTGCAGAAGTGGCTCATCAGGAAGTTGACAGTATGGAAGACACTGGCATTGCAGGACTGGCTCATCAGGAAGTTGACAGTATGGAAGACACCAGCATTGCAGGAATGGCTCATCAGGAAGTTGACAGTATCGAAGATACCAATATTGCAGCTGAACAATTTTATTTTGTTGAAGACTCAAATTGCAGCACTTTTTCAGAACAAGGTAATGCTATGTGAATGTATCATGGAGTATGTGTGTCAGTTTGGTCAATAGGGGATGCTTACTCCTCCAAGGCACCTGATCCTACCTCTGGAGAATTCCAGATGTTTGTATTTAATGACTTCTTAACCAATTTGTATTGATTGAAAGATTTTTTTAAATCAATCACTGTTCATTGTTTTTGAAGGGTCAATTTGTTATTTACTGCCATCAAGTGATATTTCCTTTTTACAAAGGTGATATCACCTACCCAGGAACCAACCAAATTCTGCTTGTCCTCAAACATTGACCTCACAAGAAATTAATTCTCAACAGTATCTTTGAATGCTCATAGTAATTATTATGTATTATTTGCAGCATATCATATAATTCTTTCAGTGCCTTTTGTGGAACTACCATCTGTTAACAGACTCTACACTGAGCAAGATCTGAAGTATGTTAATTATTTTAAAAGAAACAGTTAAGATTGCTTGAATGAAATGATTGTATCACTATCAGTTTTACCAATTAATGCCAACAAAAGAGGCTAGTATTTATAACCAATCTTAAATTGTTAAGTAATGTTTAATTGTCTGTCTGAAGGATGATGTGCCAAAGTAGCCCTTTTTCTAAGATGAATGATATTTATTCTAAAATGAGTTGGACAGTTTTCAAACAAGAATATAGGATGTCATGATATCCCTCCTTATGAAGATATATAATACATGTATGTTCCAGATTATGTTTCTATTTGAAATCAATAGCATGATGAGGATATATATACACATATTGGTGTTTAAATCTGTGAAAAATTTATAGTAAAACCAAGATATTTAACTTATTTTGTTTTGTATGGCACATTATCCTTTTAAATTCACTTTACATTGTTCACAGTTTTTACTCTTAAATTTTCAGTAGCCAACCATGCACGCATGACAAAGTAGATAATGATGAAAAGTTGGATAAAAAGAGAAAGGTAATTTTTTTAATCTTTAAATAAACTAGATCTGAGAGGATTTGACATTTTTTTTGATTTATAAAAGTTACTATTAAAATCATTTATTGACATTTTTTCATATTTGTAAATGTTTTTTTTTTTTTTTTAATTTATGTACAATTTTCAGTATGAGTTTTGTATATATGCATATTTCATTTGCCAGTTTTATGCAACATTGGCTTGATGTTGTGAAGAAGTCAGTCATCTTTTAAATTTATCTGTTACATTGCCTCCATGGCGAACAGAGCATTTGCTGTAGAGTTGTAAATAATAAGATTTTATTGTTCAGAAAAATATGTACTATAGAATCACAAATTTTCGTGTTTTGAGGAAAATATCTTGGTTTGTGGGGATTGGATTTTGTGGATGAAGAATTGAAAAGAACAGAAATTAAACCACCATGAAAATTTGTGCTTTCACAGTATTAATGAGCATCACTAAGTGGATCCTTTCTTCATTACTGTCATTCTTATACACAAGCTATTTTACCTTTTGTGTCTGTCTGTTTGTCTGTTCATAATGAATTTTTATCACAGTTTTATCAGCAATTATTTATCAGAGATTCTTCAAATTTTTGCTCACTCTTTGTTTAGGGAGACCATATGGTAGTATTTATTTTCATTGAGTTGGCTTGCATAGCGAGCTATTCAGGATGTATGGAATACAACCCGAAGTAAATCCCCGTACACCCTTGATTGGACCTGGATAATGAATTTATTTCCTTTGTATCCATAAAAATGCTTTGTAAACAGCAAAGTGTCTCAATCTATTGAAAAGATAACTATGCATGCCCCTGTGCTAAAAATAGCAACATGTAATACAATCAATACTGATAAAACAAACAAGGGAGACACTTTGAGAGGGGTGACAGAGGTCCTAGGGATTTTTGGTATAAAATAAACATTGTAAAAGCTTAAAATTTTCTTGAAATATCGCCCGGAAAGGATAGTGTTAAACACAGACTTAACTTATAAATTTATGACCTTGAACTTTGACCTTTTGACCTCAAAATCAGTAGGGGTCTTCCTTAGGCCACAGTGAGTTGTTATAAAATTTCATTGCAAAAGCTTAAAGGGTTCTCAAGATATTGCGCGGAAATAAAAGTGTTATAGCAAACTGAATTTGCAAATTTATGACCTTGACCTTTGACCTTTTGAACTCAAAATCTTAAGGTTTCTTCTTTAGTGCATAGGGAGTTGCTATGCAAAATTTCATTGCGAAAGCTCAAGGGGTTCTCGAGATATCCTGTGGAAACGAAAGCATTACTGACACACAGAAGGACAGATGGACAAACCCACATTAATATCCCCCACTTTTCAAGCGAGGGACAATAAATTTTTGTTGAATTTTTCTCAGCAAGTGCTCATTGTAGATTCTTGAAATTTTAGCACATTCTTTGCTGAAGCATGCCATTTGTTGGAATCCATTAGTTCAAATTTGATGTCAACTTCTTGTGTCTGTCCATACCATACCTAACAAATTTTCGTCGCAGGTGTCTCAACTGCTGTAGATGCTTGAAATTTAGGAACACTCTTTGCTGCGGCATTCCATATGATGAGAATCATTTTTATTCAAATCTAATGTTGACTGACTCTTTATCCGTATGGCTGTTGGTAACTGAATGCATGTTAATTAACATGATTATATATATTCACAGGGGTATTACTAGTGAGCATTGGCTCAGAAACTTCTTGTGTTGATATCTATTAAATGGTTAGGGGTTTAGATGTCTGCTTAAGAATGGTAACAAAAATGATTTTTGAAACTCATATAATCATTCAGTGTATATATAAATGATCTTGTTTCTTGATATCTATAAAATTGATACCGGTTTAGATGTCTGCTTAAGATGGTACAAAAAAGGAGAAATTATTCTACATTGAGAGAATATACATCATGTGCTGATCTAGAGGAAGGGTTAGGCTGGTCTGGACCCCTTTGAAATTTACAAGGTTAAAAAATGTATATACTAAAAAAAAAGTTACCATGGACCTGCCTTGGAAAATGCTGATCTCCCTGGTAAATTGGAATATGTGTGAAATGGGTATGAAAAGAGAAAGATTTGAGGCAGTAGAAGTCATAGACTGGGGTGGAACCCCCTGGAAAAAAATTCTGGATCTGCATCTGTACATCAAGATGTCTGCCTTAGATGGATAATATAAAGATGTCTGCCAAAGATGGATTTTTTAAAAAATATAATATATATCATGTATATATTCTTTATGGAATGCTCATTGCAGCAGCTTGGAATTTGAGCACATTCTTTGCTTAGGCATTGCCATATTCTAGGATCCATTTTAAATTTGTGTAAATCCTATGTCAACTTTCTGTTTATCCGTATGTCTGTCTGTACCATACATAACAAAAACTGTCAAGGTTTTCTTGGGAACTATTCATTGCAAATGCTTGAAATTTTAGAACATGCATTGCTGTAATTATGTTCCCCAAACGAAGTTGGGGAACATATTGTTTTTACTCTGTTTCTTATTATTATTATTATTATTATTTTTCTTCTTCTTCCTGGGTACTTTTTTGTCCGGGAATGATCTCGTAAACTATACATCCGACTAAGGTGAAATGTTTTTAGGGTCAGTAGACATGTTATGTAGATTTGCGGAACGAAGGTCATTTTGCGCGCACGTGCTTGCAAGAGCGTGCACGTGCAACATGTGTAATGACTGATTTAATTGATATAGGCGTAACTTTTTAAATTTTTGATGAAATGCTTTGAAACTTATAATATAAGGATATATTAGAAGAATAGACAATATGACATGGTCAAAATAGCAAGATCTCACGCGCATGCACATGCGCTTTGCTCTGATTGGCTGAAACTAAAGTCTCAATTTCTTTCTTGTTTTGTGACGAAATCCTTTGAAATTTTGAAAATAGCCATGCATTAGGATATCCTACAACATGATATATAGCAATTATCATGAAAACACGTGTATGCACGTGCGCTGCAATCTGATTGGCTGAAACTTTAAATAGCTATAACTCCCTTGATTTTCAACCAAACAGGATGGGATTTGGAACATAGATAGATATACTGGACAACTACAAGAAAATATGGTCACCATGCACATGCATACACGTGCATGTACGTGCGCTGCAATCTGATTGGCTGAAACTTTAAATAGCTATAACTCCCTTGGTTTTCAACCAAACGGGGTGGGATTTAGAACATAGATAGATGTAACGGACATCTACAAGGAGGTATGGCCACCATGCTCATGTATGCACGTGCGTGCACGTGAAATGAGCAAAATATAAAAAAAACACTTGAATGAGCGTATCTTTTTAATACTTTTGGATGAAATACTTTAATATTAAGTATATTAAAATATATATAGATTGTGTAGACAAGATGATATGGTCATTACGCACATGCATTCACATGCGCACGCGTGCAATGCTAAAATTTGAATGAACTTTGTACACTTCTGGGTAAACGTTGTTAAAGTCTCAAATGCATCGAGTTTGTCTTATTTAATGAAGCTTCCAGGGAATATGGCACCAAATGGGAGTTGGGGAGCGTTTGGGGAACATCTGTAACGGTCCCCGTTACAATTAGCACTAGTTGAACTTGTGTTTATTATCATGATAGTATATATTCACATCAGAGCAGGGGGTATTGCTAGTGAGCATTGGCTCAGAAACTTCTTGTGTTGATATCTATTAAATGGTTAGGGGTTTAGATGTCTGCTTAAGAATGGTAACAAAAATGATTTTGAAACTCGTATAATCATTCAGTGTATATATAAGTGATCTTGTTTCTTGATATTTATAAAATTGATACCGGTTTAGATGTCTGCTTAAGATGGTAACAAGATATAATTTTTAAGTCCTTCTTATTAAGGGTCCACCACACACATACAGCTTATGTTCTCGTATTGATTATTTAACAAGCATATCAACCTTTAAAAACTGACCAGTGTTTAAAATGTAATTTATGCAGAATTTTTAAAATAATAATTTCACAAGTTTAAAAATATTTTTCCAAAGGCATTTTCATACGTAGCACTTAAAATTTTGTCTTAAACTTTCGTATATTTTTATGCTCACAGAATAACCATCGATATTTGATTTTATCTATCAACATATTTTTAGCTCACCTGAGCCGAAGGCTCAAGTGAGCTTTTCTGATCACATTTTGTCCGTCGTCCGTCTGTCTGTCCGTCTGTAAACTTTTCACATTTTCAACTTATATAGAACAAATCTTTAAAAATCTTCTTCTTAAGAACCACTAGGCCAGGAAAGCTGAAACTTATGTGGAAGCATCCTGGGGTAGTGTAGATTCTAAAGTTTTAAAATCATAAAAGGGAAGGGGGTAGTAGGGCATGATAAGTATAGCAAGAGGGGGAATCTGGTAAAGAACTACATCACCCAAGTTACTCAGGTGTGCGATGTGGCCCATGGGCCTCTTGTTCAAATCAGAACACCCCCCTTCCAGTAAACTTTTAAATACTGAGCTGTTTTGTGTGTTTACTAAGCCCTTGTTCTCAGATGAGCAATGTGGCCCATGGGCCTCCTTTTTAAAGACAATTTTAAGACTTGATAATTAATTGAAATTTTCTCTGTTTTAGAATTTAGATGAATCACCAGTAAGAGCATTAAGTACACAAGCTAAACCAAAGAAAGAGGTATTAATTTAGATGACTTTTTTTAAAATATGTTTTTAAGGTTGACAAATTAAGAAAATTTAGAATAAAAAATTTCAGAAAGAATTTTGATCCAATTCAACTCTTTATTCAAGGATCCTTTGAAAAATTTAAAAAGATCTTCCTCATTCCAGTACACTTGTTTCAGTGAAATGTACTTTTAAAAGCAATCTATTGTTTCAGAGACCAGGCCGAATGTGCGTCCTTTGCAACAAAATCATCCTAAATGGAAAGCTAAAGAGACACATTATAAGCCACAAAAAAACACACAGTGAAGTTGCTGATGTACTAAAAAAACCCTTAAAGGAACAAAACATATGGTTTGAAAAAAAGCGTCATGAGGGAATGTATAAATACAACATACAACATTTGAATGAGAATGATGCCAAATTGATGAGGGAAAGAAAACCAAAAACACCAGATGAGCTAAGAATGTGCTTAGAATGCAAGAAGTTCTTTTCTAACAGAACATTCTACAAGCATAAAGATGTTTGTAAGAGTGATGCAATGCCAGTTAAAACACAAACACTCAGGCCCCTTTCTCATCACCACGATGAGGAATTTGTTTTAAATATTCTGAATAAGTTTCGTGATGGGCCAGTGGGTAAATTTATTAGAGAGAACAAAATTATTCAAACCATTGGATATAAGCATTTCCTTGCTAGAAAATCAGAATCCAGTAAATTCAATGAAGTTAGAAGAGAGGTCATGATGGAAATGAGGGAACTAAGCAGACTTTTTCTGTGCTTCCAGTCTCTTGCAGAAGAAGAAGTCACTTTTCAAGATATGTACGAAAGAAATTATTTAACAACCCTCAAAGAGGCCTTCACAAGTCTTTGTACAGGAGAAGAAGAAGAAAAACATGGACTGAAAGTTAACTTAAATAGCATTTTCCAAAGAAGCATTAAAATTCTTTTGGGATATTACTCAGAAGCACAGCTTGATGCCAAGGTGAAGGAATTGGAAAGGTTTAGGAAGGCATACAATTTCAACCTTCCTGATATTGTTGGCAAAGCTAGGTACCACACAGAGAAGAACTCTTTGAAGAAGGCAAGACTCCCCAGAAACCTACCAGTAGAAGATGACATGAGAAAACTGAAACATTTTCTTGTTCAAGAAATAGATGTTGCCAAGGAAAACTTCTCACTTCATCAGTATACATGGCTTCGTTCATTGGTAGTTGCCAGACTAACTCTATATAATGCAAGACGAGGGGAAGAAGGTTCAAGACTATTGCTTGAGGAGTGGTACGATGCCATCAATGGCACCTGGGTTCCCCAGGAAAGTGTGGAAAGTGTTAAAGATGATGCAGAGAAATATCTTATTGGACAATATAAGCTAGCGTACATGGCAGGAAAGGGGAGAAAATGTGTTCCGGTTCTGATTCCTAATGATTTGGTTCAGCCAATAGAACTCCTTGTATCAAACAGACAGGCATTTGGCATAGGAGAGACTAATCATTTTTTGTTTGCTACGAAGAGTTCCAACTCACATTGCTCTGGATGGCATGCAGTTTCTTCTGTTTGTGAGGCAGCAGGTGTTTCTTCTGTGTCGGCCACAAAAAACAGACATAGAGCGTCAACAGTGTATGCTAGTTTAGAAATGTCAGACATAGACAGGAGAGTTTTTTATGACCATCTAGGTCATAACGAATCTATAAACAAGGAGAACTATCAGTGCCCTCCAGGGATAAATGAAGTCAGAGTGATGGGGAAGTTTTTGAGAACTCTAGAAGGTAAAAACATTTTTAAAATCTTGCATCTTACGATCCATAGCCTGTCTCAGTACATGTAATAAAAGAAAAAAATATCTTAATGACATTGCTGTTTCAGATGGCATAGTGACACAACCACAGCAGAAAAACAAGCAGACGAAAGGTAAAATGTTTAAATTACATGTAAAAGCATGTTTTATCATTTGTTAATTTTGTTATTTGGACATTGTCATTAAGCTTGGATATTGCAAGCTGCATAATAAATGATACAATACATATACGATATGGTCATACGATGCAACATGTATTGTGATAGATCTGTCAACACTACAGTTAACTGATCTTTGCACATTTTTGCTTGCTAACCTCCACAGATATAGAAAATATAAAAAGAACATCTTGAGACTCATAACCAAAGTTATTTATAGGTGGACTAATAGTCTTAACATTATATTAATATTTCACTCGATTTTATCACAAGACCCACAAACTAAGACTATCTAAATTTAATTCTCTGGTTCTCAGGCCAATTTTCTCCAAAACGGATGTGGGAGGGACTGAGGTAGGCATTTTATTTATCATTTTATTGGTAATAAAGTAGAAGAGGGAGGTTTTTTTAATTTTTATTTCAATTTTCAAGAATTTTATTTAACCAAAGATATTTTACCAGACTTTTCGGATGCTGGATCTGACCTAATTTTCCAGATGAGTGACCAGATAAGAAATACTTTCAAACTTACATGGATATTTTCAAAATTTCTGCTTTATCCATTGCGATTGACAATAACAGCGTGTAAACATGCGTAGATGTAATTTTCCAAACAAGCAATTCAGCTGCCGTATATTTTGATGAAATTTTAAACACATACTAATTTTCATGTTGCTTTACTGATATATCCTCGGCGGGGCATTCATGTCCTATGGACATATTTCTAGTTTATCATTTTATTGGCAATAAAGTAGATGAGGGAGGTATTTTTTTTTATTTTAATTTTCGAATTTTATTTAACATGAAGATATTTTTTTTAATCACAGATATACTTTCCATATTTGGTCAAAATTTCTGCTTTATCCATTGCGTAACAGCGTGTAAACATCGTAGGTAATGTCCCCGAATGTATTTTCAAACGAAGTAGCCAAAATCTCATTGCAAATGTCTACCGGAAGTGATATTTGAATACTAAACTACAAAAAAAATGAGGTCGGAATTTTTTTTTCCGGATTGGTCTTCGCAATACCAACTTTTTATTTTATCAAAAATACATTAAAATCGGCAATGCGGCTACCTCAAAACGGATGCGCGCAGGCCTGAGAACAAGGATTTCAATTTAATATGGCCTTAATATCAATGTAATTTTTTTAACTTGATTTTTAAATATTTATCATGTTTCAAAAGTTATGGAGAAATTTCGAAAAATAGACAAACGAACAGGACAAAAACAATATATATGACTTGAATTTATCAGTCCGGACGCATAAAAAATTCAGACATCTACATAATCTAGATTTAGTAATGAAGGTCTTTGTCTCAGATATTGTGTTGATCTGTTTTATTTCTTCATGCTTCTTTTAGAATGTGGAAGAACAGATGAGCCAGAGTGTGTCGAGTTGAGGAAAACACCTCAAAGAGGTATAAATGGTTTTTCAGTATAATACTAGTTAAATATTTAAGAAGATGGTGATTTGAGAATCTAGTGGCCACAAGTACAATGAAGCATCTCTATGCTTTGGAGTTAAATTGATCATTCAACATCAAATCATTAATTTTTTTTTTCTATTTTTTATGTTTATAAGCAGAGTTATTATTGTGGGTTTTTTAAATTCTAAATGACATTGCTGTTTCAGATTGCTTAGTGACACAACCACCGCAGAAAAACAAACAGATGAAAGGTAAAATTTTTAAATTACATGTTAAAGCATGTTTGATCATTTGTTATACCCCCGCAAACAAAGTTTGGGTGGAAATATAGGAATTAGCTTGTCTGTCTAGCTGTTTGTGCAAAAGTGTTCGATCCATATCTTATGGAGGAACATTTGAATCTACTACTCTGCACACAGATTGCCCATGACCTGTGTCATGATCTTGAGTCAAGGTCATTTGGGGAAGTTCAAGGTCACTGGAAGAAATTTTTTTATAATTTTTGTCCAGTCCATATCTTTTTTATGGATAAACTTGTTAAAATCCTATTTCACACAAAGATTCCTCATGACCAAAGGATGTGTCATGTAGATGACATTGACACAATGTCATCTGTGCAAGTTCAAGGTCACTGGAAGAAAAATTGTATAATTCATGTTTGGTACATATCTTTATTATGGAAAAACTTGAATCTACTACTTCACACAAACATTGCTTATGACCTGAGGTTGTGCCATGACTTTGAAACAAGGTTATTCATGCAATTTCAATGTTACTGACAGAAAGTGTTCATAATTCTTGTCTGGACAGTGGTCCTTATATTGAGTCAAATATTATTAGGTTGCACCTCCATTTCATTTATAAAAAAAAATATAATGAGCAATTACATTTGCACTGAAAATTTTTTAGCATTTCTCTCTTCTCTAAGATCCAGAAAATATTCATGATTTTACACATCTGAAAAATCCAGCAGGGGTATTTTGTCCTGTTTGGACAGTTCTAGTTCATTTTGTTGTTTGTGTAAAAAATAAGATATTCAGCACTGTTCAGTGGATTCTCAAATTATGGAATACATGTTATGTAACACCATGATATTTCAAGAATGTTTTTTTCAGCTTTATAAAATCTGTTTTATAACGCCAAATTTTGACATTGTCATTAAGCTTGGATATCGCAAGCTGCATAATAAATGATACAATACATATAACGATATGGTCATACGATGCAACATGTATTGTACTCGATTTTATCACAAGTCCCACAAACTTTATATCCATGTAATTTTTTTTAACTTGATATTGATATTGATTTTTAAATACAGTGAAACTTCTCCAAACCGGCCCCCCTGGAAACCGGTTCTCCCTGAACATTGGCCAAATTTTTAAGTCCCGGCAAAATTCTTAATATTTCTTCAGTCATAAACTCTCATAAAACCGGCCACCCCTGAAAACCGGACACCGGCCACTATTCCTAGAACAAAAGTTAAGAAACATAGGAAATTTCCCCTCATCATACCGGCCACTTTTTTATTGCAAGAATTTAACTGTCATTGGCCAGAGGGGGTATAATGACCGGCCGGAGGTGTGAAAAATAGCCTACCCACGAGAGGTCAGATGTGTGAAAAACTGAATATGGTTATAAAATTTGGCATTTTTGTTTAGCCGTCTTGAAGGGGTAGTTATTGAGCCAGACTACGTAAATGGCCGGTCTAAGCTGTGTACATATGATTAACATCAATTAAACTTGAATTAATAAAATATCAAGCAACTGATAAATTTAAATCACAGAATGAAACAACAAATTATCGCACGCCATATTGCATCATCTTTTTAAATACACATAAGCGGCCTTAAAATTGGGCACTGTTAAAAAAGCTAAGAAAAATTAAAAAAAAAAAAAATGTTCACCGAAATATACATTTCATAATTAGAATAACAGATTAGTTTTGCTCAGAAATGTTTTTAAAATTATTTACTTTTAACTGAAGTACAAACAATTTTTAGGTCACCTGAGTAAACTCAGGTGACCTATTGCTATCCGTTTTCGTCCGTCGTCGTCCGTCGTGCGTTGTGCGTCGTGCGTTAACATTTAAACATTTTCAGCTTCTTCTCTGAAACCACTGAACCAATTTCAACCAAATTTGGCATATATATGAAGGGGAAAAAAATTGTGAAAATCATCTTCCCCGCCCCCCTGGAGCCTGGGGGGTGGGGCAAAAACCACTAAAAGTAGTGCAATCTTTAAAAATCTTCTTCTTTACTCCCGGACATCAAGCAGTCAAACTGTTGGTATGATTGTAATCAAGTACCAAAATTGTCAAATTCATGGCCCCAGGGTCAGGGGTTCTGGTGTTAGGGTGGGGCCTATTGATTATATAGTGAAAATGCAGTAAGTCTTTAAAAATCTTCTTCTCTGCTCCTGGGTATTAAATAAACAAATTAAGTTCATAGTTATGATGAGCAAGAGTGGCTCTACCAAATTTGTGAATTTTATGTCCCCAGGGTCAGGGGTTCTGGTGGGGAAAGATGAAACTCATTGATTATATAGTGAAAATGCATTATTTCTTTGAAAATCTTCTTCTCTGTTCCTGAGTATTAGATAAACTAATTAAGCACATAGTTAAGATGAGCATTAGTGTCTCTTCATAAATTGTGAATTTTATGGCCCCAGGGTCAGGGGTTCTGTTGTTAGGGCGGGGCTCTACTATTGATTATATAATGAAAATGCATTATCTTTGAAAATCTTCTTCTCTGCTCCTAGGTATTAAATACACTAATTCAGTAAATAATTATGATGAGCAAAAGTGCCTCTACCAAAATTGTGAAACTCATGGCCCCAGGGTCAGGGGTTCTGGTGTTAGGGCAGGGCTCTATTGTTTATATAGTGAAAATGTATTAAATCTTTGAAAATCTTCTCTGCTCCTAGGTTTTAAATAAACTAACTAAGTAAATAGTTATGATGAACAGAGTGATACCAAAATTGTGAAACTCATGGCCAATATAGGGGTTCTGGTGTTAGGACGGGGCTCTATTGATTATATAGTGAAAATGCATTAAATCTTTGAAAATCTTCTTTCAAAGCCATAGGTTTTAAATAAAGTGTACATAGTTATGATGGAATCTTCCAAAATTGTGAATGCCTTAGCATCTAGCTTAAAACATGAAACAAATTCAATCATTTGAAAGTTGTTGCATGATGCTCAGGTGACCTATAAGGCCCGTGGGCCTCTTGTTTTATTGACGTAAGCGATACACAGATACACATGTGCTTGCAATATTCTCAGTTCAGTTAAGGTAAAGGGTCTGGTTTATTTTTCGCATATGGTTAATAAAGCAACTTTCCATGTTGTTTCTGTTCTTATTTTTTAATTTCTTTTTATAAAAATCAACATGTATGTCGAATTTATCCTCACTAATAAAACTTTCCTTTTTTTAGACCTTATATGAATACATTACATCTCTGCCGATAATTAATAACATAGATAATTATAACAGACACCAATTATATAATTATCGTAGCATCTGTCACATAGTTCAGCATTTCTTCAGTATGTTAGATTTTCAGGAAACCGGCCACCCCTCTAATCTGGCCATTTTATTCAGTCCGGCAGCTGGCCGGTTTAGAGAAGTTTTACTGTATATATCATAAGATAAAACAAGATGTGCCACAACTTTCAAAAACTATTTTTAGCAGATAAGTCAAAGTCTAGGTCACAAGGTCATTGACCTTAGTATCAGTTGAAAGAACCCTAATAGTGGAGTATGCATACCAAATCTGAATTCTCCATCTCTCATGGATGAAAAGTTATGGCGAAAGTTCTAAAAAGCTATTTTTTGCATAAAGTTCATTCAAGGTTTCAAGGTCATGACCTTGGTGTCATTTGAAAGAGCTTTATTAGTGAATTATGCATTCCAAATATGAGTCTCTGTCTATCATGTTTCAAAAGTTATGGCGAAAGTTCGAAAAACAGACAAACAAACAGGACAAAAACAATATATATGACTCGAATTTATCAGTCCGGACGCATAAAAAATTCAGACATCTACATAATCTAGATTTAGTAATGAAGGTCTTTGTCTCAGATATTGTGTTGATCTGTTTTATTCATGCTTCTTTTAGAATGTGGAAGAACAGATGAGCCAGAGTGTGTCCTGAGGAAAACAGAAAGTTTTTAAAATTATTATACTAGTTAAATATTTAAGAAATGGTGAAGTACAAAACAATTTTTTTATTGATCATTCAACCTCAAATCATTAATTTTTATGCACCGCCATGAACATGGCCGGGGCATATAGTGTTTGTCATATTCTTCCGTTCAGTTAAGGTAAAGGGTCTGTTTATTTTTCGCATATGGTTAATAAAGCACACTTTCCATGTTGTTTCTGTTCTAATTTTTTAACTTTCTTTTTATAAAACTTCATATGCTGATGTATGATCGAGATTTATGGTTCACTAATAAAACTTTCCTTTGCTGGATTTGACTGACATTTTCAAGATAGTGACCAGGTAAAAGTTTTTACATCATTCTAAGGAACTATAAACTTGGACCAAACTTGCATGGATGATGCATCTAACAGACACCAACTTATATAATTGGATCTGACCTACATTTTCCACATAGTTCAGGTTAAATTTTTAGAGCATGTCCATTTAGATTATAAGCCATACTTGGACCAAACTTGCATGGATGATGCATCTAGGGATGGACACTACCAGACTTGCTTCGGATGCTGGATCTTACCTATATATATCCCAAGTAACTATAAGCCCTAGATGAACCAAACTTACATGAATGTTGCATCTTTGGATGGACACTACCAGATTTCGGATGCTGGATCTAGGTCAAACCTATATTTTCATTTCCAAGTAACTGTAAGCCCTATGAACCAAACTTGAAAGATGCAATAGTGGAGTACCAGATGCTACCAAATGCTGAATGACTTATATTTTTATTTCCAAGTAACTATAAGCCCTAGAACCAAACTTACATGAATGATGCATCTAGGGATGGACACTACCAGACTTGTCGGATGCTGAAAAGCTATTTTTTCATTAAAGTAACTATAAGCCCTACCTAAACCAAACTTGCATGGATGATGCATTAGGGTGGACAATGACCTTGAATCTGACCTATATTTTCATTCCTGTCATTACCTGAACCAAACTTATAGATGCTTTATTAGTGAATGGATGCATTCCAGTCTGCTTCGGATGCTGTCTATCATGAACCAAAGTTGCATGGATGATGCATCTAGGGATGGACACCACTAAACAGGATCTGACCTATATTTTCATTCCCAAGTAAAAAACAATATATATGAACCAAACTTGCATGGATGATGCATCTACGCATAAAAAACTTCAGACATCTACATATATTTAGATTCCTAGTAACTATAAAGGCCAAACTTGCATGGATGTCTCTAGGGAGATATTGTGTTGATCTGACCTATATTTTTATTCAAGTAACTTCTACCTGAACCAAACTTGCATGGATGAAGATCTAGGGATGGAGCCAAACTTGCTTCAGTGTGTCTGACCTATATTTTCATTCCTAACTAACTATAACACCTGAACCAAACTTGATGGATGATAAGGGATGGTTTGCTTCGGAGTATAATACTAGTATTAAATATTGAACCAAACTTGCATGGATGATGCATTGATGGAATCCAGACTTGCCACAACCTATACAAACAAGCAATTCAGCTGCATGCTTTGGATAGATCAAATTTTAAACACATACTAATTTTCATGTTGCTTTCTGATATATCCTCATTCAATCATTAATTTTTTCTTCTATTTTTTTTTAAAAATAAGGTATCATTTTTTGAGTTTTATTGAGATAGGAACATGTTATATTACATAGGAATATATAGGAAAATCTTTAAAAATCTTCTTCTCAAGAACCACTGGGCCAGGAAAGATGAAACTCGTGTGGAATCATCCTCAGGGGGTGTAGATCCAAATTTGTTCAAATCATGACCCCTGGGGGTAGGATGAGGCCACAATTGCTGATCAAAGTTTTACATAGGACTAGATAGGGAAATCTTTTAAAATCTTCTTCTCAAGTACTTCAAAGCCATGATTAGTGATTATATGGAATCATCCACAGGTATTGAAGATTCTAGTTTGTTCAAATCACAGAATTGTGGAAAACTTTTTCAGATAGCCGGTCATTTGGACCGGCAAGAAAACAAAATAAGCCAGTCCGAAGTGATTTTTGTTGCTCCAAAATACAATGAAGCGCATTGAAGTGGTAAAATTTTCCGTTCGAATGGAACATTTTGAGCTATCTTTAGAACATTTATGACACGCCCATTTCTTTAGAAATAGATAAAACGGTCAATTTGTTTATTCGAATACCTGTAGAACAGGTTTTCTATAAATATAATAGCCAATGAAATTGACGGTCTAAATAAATACCGAGTAAACACATGTTCGACCTAACCATGTGTTGTGGTAACTTCAATAGACATGATGAGTTAAAAAATATGTACATATTTGTTGCACTTTGTGTTTTACAGAAGCGGGGAGTCTCTAACTCTCTCTTCTTATTTTTTTTTAAAGCTCCATTTCAGTGTAACTCATATTGCTTGTCGCGAAGATTGGGGTGTCCTAAAACATATACAACGAATATTTCATTCTGGTTTCTAAAAATATGGGCGTGTCATTATGCTGTAATTGACATTCAAAACATGACTCAGAACGTTTCGTCCAAACAGAAAATTTACCACTTCAATGCGCTTCATTGTAGTAAGTCGCAAAATGGAAAAAAAAAATCGGTCTCTATTTCCAAGTACTCTTCCGTTTTCTTTTAATTTTGCATTTATAACAATACTAAATACCGCCGCTTTTGGGCAGGTGACAATGCTAATTCAACACAGTGAACTTAATTTCTTAAAACATTTATGCATTTTGGAATTAGATTAACCTAGAAAATGCGTCTAAAAATTCTTTGCACCAATAATCTGATAATCAAGATATCAACACAATCTCTGAAAAAAACGAAAACACGGGACAGTCCGAAGTACTAGATTTAGTGCTTTCCCCACCTGTGCTTGAATTTTTTCTTTTGAAATTTTTCATATTTAGCTCGTCTTTATCTTCAGTTTTTCTTGAATATGTTTTCTACCTAACTCTGCCCCAGTTGTAAATTTAATAGGTCACGAGAACCATGCTAGTTTTGCTTTCATTTACAGCCTCGATCTAGTTATAGAAAAGATATTACGCAATCGCATATAAGGTACGATAATTATAAAGATGGGAAATGCACCAAAAAAAACTTTATCCAAAAAAATGGGATCGGTCATTTGGACCGACATTGATAGCATTTTTACCGGTCATGCAAATTTTTTGCCGGTTTTGCCGGCATGACCGACAGTTTTCCACAACTCTGAAATCATAAAACCCTAGGATAGGGTGAGGCCTCAATGGGGGATTCCTCAAGTTTTACATTAAAATATATTTTAAAAATCTTCCTCTAAAGAATAGCAAAGCAACAATTAGTGATATTTATTTGGAAGCATCCTCAGGTAGTGTAGAATTAAATTTGTTCCAATCATAACCCCAATTTTAGGGCTTGCTCAAGTGAGTGATGTGACTCTGGGCCTCTTGTAGAAATTTGCCATCCAAAGTTTGATTAATTTTTCTCAGGTTCATGTCGTTGGACGGAAGAAGAAACAGAAAGAATTAAAAAGGATTTCCATGATTGGATTACGCTGGAAAGTGGAAATAGTCTACCAAGTTTGTATTTATTCTTTTCAAATTTAAGTCATACTGCAATAAATTTATCTGATAACAGCATTTATGAAGTAAAATAATGTGTATGGATTTGAAAGTTGAGTAATATTTTAGTTTGCACTTTTGTTATTGAAGTACATAAAGATAAGCAAACACGAGGTTTTTTGCAATACATTGTTATCGTATAGCATGCTATAAATTTCTATTTACAGGTAAGACATGTCTGGAGAACTACTTGAAGCAATCTACATGTACTTTGTCGTGTACACTACTTCAACTACGAACAAAAGTTATGAATGAACAGAATAAAAGAAGAAAAGGTCTTACTAAGAGATGGAAAAAACTTACCGAGTAGCTTTTTAATCAGTCAGGGGCATCGTGAAAACAAGTTATTTTTTAAATAATTTGTTTCAGTTCTTAAATGTCAACATTTTGGGTTATCTTCCCCTGATCATGGTTTTCTTCATTAACTTTTTCCTGTTATTGATACTTTACTACTCATTATCTTAAACCTACTGGCATCTGAAAGGCTTTAGTCATGCTGTGCTTGGGTTATTAAGTTCCGTTAGATGATTCATGACAGGAACAGTAATGTATCTTTAACATTTAACACATTGAAATCCAAAAAATTATAACTCATATCAATTATTTCATCCTTAACCAACCTCACTTAAAAACTCTTACACAAAATTCTACAGCTTTGTTCAAAAAATGTAAGACAGAGATTGTACAGTAATATCCAAAGATTTTAGGAAACTTAGTCTTAATGCTGGCAAAATTGGCCGAAGATGTGTAATTGACCTCTGAAATGTTAATGAAATGGAATTATTTTTCCTTGAAAAATATCATGTTCTTTTCTTAATATCATCATATCTGCTCAGAAGATATTAAGTTTGTTGAGTCTATTAAAAGAATTACATATATTTACAATTTTCTTAGCCTTAAATCGTCTTAAATCAGCAGCAAACTCAAAATATTAAATGTTTTTTGCAAAACTAATAGGCGTTCTACTTTTTAGGCATTAACTCAATTGAGTTAGTTTTTAGCTCACCTGAGCCGAAGGCTCAAGTGAGCTTTTCTGATCACATTGTGTCCGTCGTCTGTCCGTCCGTCTGTCCGTCCGTAAACTTTTCACATTTTCGACTTCTTCTCAAGAACCAATGGGCCAATTTTAACCAAACTTGGTACAAACCATCCTTAGGTGAAGGGAAGTTTAAATTGTTAAAATGAAGGGCCAAGTCCCCTTACAAGGGGAGATAATCAAGAAAAGACAAAAATAGGGTGGGGTAATTAAAAAATCTTTTTCTCAAGAACCACTGGACCAGGAAAGCTGAAATTATGCGGAAGCATCTTTGGGTAGTGTAGATATTCAATTTTTCAAAATCATGACCCCTGGGTGTAGGGCGGGGCCACAATAGGGAATCCAAGTTTTACATAGAAATGTATAGAACAAATCTTTAAAAATCTTTTTCTCAAGAACCACTGGGCCAGAAAAGCTGAAACTTATTTGGAAGCATCCTGGGGTAGTGTAGATTCTAAATTATACAAATCATGACCCCCGGGGGTTGGGCGGGGCCACAATGGGAAGTCAAAGATTTACTTAGAAATATATAGAAAAAAAACTTTAAAAATCTTCTTCTCAAGAACCACTGGGCCAGAAAAGCTGAAACTTGTGTGAAGGCATCCTGGGGTAGTGTAGATTCTAAATTGTTCAAATCATGACCCCCGGGGATAGGGCGGGGCTACAATGGGGAATCAAATTTTTACATAAAAATATATATTAAAAAACTTTTACAACGGGGGGGGGGGGGGGGGTAGGTCAGGGCCACAATGGGGAATCAAAGTTTTACATAGAAATATATTGGACAATCTTTGAAAAGCTGAAACTTATGTGAAAGCATCTTGGGGTAGTATAGATTTCAATTTGTCTAAATTATGATGAGTGGGGTTGGGTGGGGTCACAATATGTATAACAAGGGGGAAATCTAGTAAAGAACAGAATGGTCAAAGCTTCTCAGGTGAGCGATGTGGCCCATGGGCCTCTTGTTTGTATAGTAATTAATAAGTGAAGTAACATAAACAAGTCATTTTAGAAAATAACTTGATTCCATCATGCCCCTGACCTGTACTACCAAACAAATTACCATCTAAAATTACTTTGTTTACTCCATACTCCATAATTCTTAAGTAATTTAAGTTACTCAATGAAAAAATTTAGTTTTGTAGAGACGTATAATGAATAAAGCATTGTTCAAGATTGTTCATGCAAATTCATTACCGAGTTATTTCCCACCTGTCATCTTTGGCATTTCTGTTACCATCATTTAAGACATAAGGTGATCTTGTATGGACTTGTAAAGTTTTTGTCTTTTAAATCCCATACTTAAGTTCAAAAACATGTTATTAACATCCTGATATTCTATTAGTATTTATGTTTATAAATTGATTTTACAATACTGGTAATGAATATTGACTTGTTAAATGTTGAACAGAATCATTTTAAACAAATCACTGTAAATTCAGGATAAGGTAGATCAACAAGATGATGATAGCAATATTTTTAAAGATGCACAATTTGGTTTCAAGTTATTTGCAAGTGCATATGGTGCTACCTTTATTGTACAGTCATAAAGAAGATATTTAGGGGCAAAATATTGTATGGTTGTATTGTTGACTATCAGAAAGCATTTGATGACGAACATTTCTTGTTTTCAATATAAACTTACCTCACAATTAGGGTATACATGGTATATTGTTTGGAATTATAAAATCGGTGGGAAAGTGTATTTAAAAACTGTGTTACTAATATATGGAGGTAACATAGTTCTGTCAGATTATTGTAATATATACACATTATTTTATTGCTCTTTTAATTATCTTGAAATGCATGTTTTGAATAAGAATTGCCTTGATTGAGATACAAATGATGAATGTTTTTTTTTTTATTATTGAAAATAGGCAAATGATATTGTTTTGGTTGCTAAAACAAGAGCTGGATTACAATAATTGTTTTCATGAATTGCATTCTTTGACATGGGTTCTTTCATCAGTTATAAATATAGGGGGAAAACCTAAAAATTGTTATTAGAAATTGTGATAAATGAAATCAAGTAAAAAATGGAATAATTGTGATCAAAATATTGGAATGGTGAACCAGTTTTAGTACAATGTTTAATTTTAATGGGATTTATTTTCAAACCCAGAAACTTTTTTATATCAGGGAAAATGTCATGTACAGTTTATTTAACGAAATGAATGATTTAGATGTAATGATTGAAATGTAATATATATATATGATGTATTGTGCTATGCAGTTAATAATGGGGTATCATAAAGGACATTTATTGTAGAACAAATATGCATGATGTACTGTAAGAGAATTCCAAGAGTTAGACAATGCACATTTAAGAGCATGATTTGAATATGGAAGAATTCCACTTGTGACCATTGAAAAATGAAAAATTTAGAGTACGAGGGTTGTCCCAAAATTTCGTACACTGAGCTCATATCTTTTCAAGAAATTTATGTATCTTTATAAAATTTTCAGGGTGGATAAAGCGTGTTCTTGGCAGATAAATTACGAAGTTTTATCATGTTTACTTGAACACTTTTCGAGTTATAGGATTTAAAGTGATATCGTCATCTAGCACCCGGAGCAATCTGCAACGTCAAAAAATACATATGTAAACGCTTTAAATTTTTGGAGAAAATGTTTCAATTACCAGGATCAAATTCTTAAATTAAACGAAACGATTATAGTTATACATGTAAATGTGAAATATCTTAATTTCTATGATATGATCAAATATTAAAATATGTAAACTAAGTATGTGCATGTACAGGTATAAAATTATAATTATTTGAAAACACCATATTTCTATGGGCTTTTCGTCTGTTTTCTCTAATGAAGTTGCACAATGGACTTCTTGCCCATTTCTTAGCCATGTCTTTTATTTTAGTTACTGTTATTCACATATACTTAGAGAAACCGTTTTAGTCATTTTAAATACTTAGGACGAGAAAACGTTTCCTAGTGTACCAAACATTTATGACTGGTACATTTCTATAAGAGTGAATTAAGGATCAAAACACTTGAATATAGTCCAGTGCGCCGCATCTGCCAAAGCAGCTGCCATTTTTCAAAAAGTCGGATTTCAACCCCATGTATATAAAACGTTATAAAATTCATATTTATCAAAGCATACACACCAAAATTTGAGGAAATATAGTAAATAAAACTATATTGAGAATTTTCACCCCCATTCAAAAAATACAGGGTAGTAATTACTTCTCCGTAGGATTTTATATATAATATACCAATTTTTAATTGTAACTTTTGGGTATTGCGCCGCCTTCCTACACCAGACAATGAAATGGGTCTTTTAAATTAGATTAATTTGTGTAGTTACTCCATATTTGTCCATAAATTTATAAGATAGTGTTGGTTTAATCTATATACGAAGTTTCATTAATGTATGACATAGGGTTCCTACAATACAACGCTTGTCTACGGAATTTTGGGACAACCCTCGTAAAAGTTGAAAGTGCACAAAAATAATTCATGTTTTCAAGATATGTTAGAGAATGGAGATGATTGGCTTCTTGATAATAGAAATGATTTTTTCAAAACAGATTAACTGTGCTTAATGACCATATTGTATTAAAGAACTTGTGATGTTTTCAAACAAGTGCTGAGGAATATTTGTACTTTCTCCAAAAATGTCTTCGGTAAACTCATGGTGGGTAATTAAATTTACCGTATAATCCTTATTAACAGCCCCAGGCACTTAGAAAATTGCAAAAGGGGGCAGTTATTTTGGTATTCTCTTTATAATATTTAATTTCATATTTTAACTTCACGTATTGAAAATCTTTCGAAAAAAAATAAAAGAACCACTAAAATAACGTCTAACTTGACATAAAGTGAAGATAATCCACCCAAATTATGATAAATTATACAGTTTCTCCCGAGAAATTGGATAAAAGACAAGTTTCATTATCACGTTCTTCAATTTTTTTCATATGATTGTAGTTGATTTTAAACGCTGCATAGGGGGCCCTTAATTCCTGACAATTGGAAAAAGACCTATGGGGGTGCTTATAGGGGCAAAGGTGGTGAATAGGGATTATACGATAACTTCCACTGTTATCTGGGTAAGCTAATACACCCTACATTTTATACTGAAATGTCATTTCATTTTATACCCAAAATATGCATCTCTGAGAGAAAAGTACCTAATAAATTACTACATTTTCCTTCACTTGAAGCTGAACACGACTCGTAATTATGTATACACCATTTTTAATATAATTACCTTGAAGACCAGGATATACTCTTCGCATTCGTTACACCTGACTGCTTTATTATCACGGGTTACAAATATAGCAGACACATTCCTTTACCAAACGTGTCCAGCTTTAAGTGTATACAATTTATTGTTTGATTGTTATCTATTCTCAAAACAAAAGTTATGTAATATAGAAGTATTTATATATTTTGATAACAAATTAAGAAATTCCTCGTCTGATTTACATGTATAATATGTAATTCTGAGAGAGTTATAACTATAAATATTGGAGATTAACTTTAATGTATACCAGTATGCATTTTTGTATTGTGCACAATAATTGATGAATTAGAAATTTATTATCCACACATGTATAAAATTTTAAATATCATGCATAAAATTTTTTGAATAATGATAAGTCCACAACATTAGTGCATTCTTTGATTTTGTTGAATGATAATTAATTTTGATTGAATAAATTTGTTTAAACTCATAGTCTTAGTATTACAAGTCCTGTTCATTATCTTCACCCATAGTTATTTTATATAAAGATTTTTTATGTTAATAAAACCCAGTTTTTTTTAATAAAAAAATATGTTTACATGTCTTGATTAAATACAAAAGCTACCCATTTTTTAAGAGTATAAACTTGGTTGGGACAGTTTATGCATTATGTACCACAAAACTGTTTAGGATACATGTAAAGCATAAATTTACCTGTTCCAAGAGGGATATGGAGATAACGAACAGTATTCAGTCTCGAAGTTCATAAAACAATACAAAATAAAAGCAGAGCAAACACGGACCTCCGAAACATCAGAGGTGGGATCAGGTGCCATGGAGGAGTGAGCATCCCATGCAGTCCAGTCACACAAGTGTGTTCCTTGTCATGATCAGGAAATAACGGAAAAAATCTGTTGTCAATTCAGTGTATAAGTAATGAACTAACAATTGGTATGAAAAACGTCAGTCAGCATTTGACTCAATGATAAA